TGCATTTGTGAAAGTGGCACACAGGCAAGAAACCATCCTCCCCCACCCCGCTGCTGTACACTATTTATCAATATCAACACTATACAAGATTCTCTCAATTTTATAAATAAGTCCTAAGAATTTCATCATGGTGAATTCCAGCATGAAAACTACATTCACTTATAAAATATTCATGCCCTGTAAAGAAGAATATATATATATATTGGTTTTGGGGATATTCTTCATTCTACAAGTAACAAAACAAACCTCTTAAAATTTGTTTACCATTGTTCTGTTCATTTACCGCATATATCTTCTGACTACATAACTTTTTAAAACAGGTTTTCAAAACCTAAATAGTAGGTTTTGAAACTTGCTGTTTTGTGGAAACTTTTCTCCATATAAGTTTAAACCACAACCATGGAATCCTTCAATGGTGTGCTTTCTATGACACTCATTCAGTTCTCAAGAGACCCAGTTCAGTTCTCTCTGTGCCAGTTTCAGAGATTTGTCTCGGAATACACAAAATTAGATTTCTGTAGTCAAGCTGAAGCTTATCAGTCATTATTTTGAGAAATAAAGATGTTTCAAAGAATTCTGAAGCAGGTTAAAAATCTTGTTCCAAAACACTAAGATCTGTCACTCAAGCAAAATATATGTCAACTTCTTATATATTATAAATAATTTATTCTCCGAGTATTTCTCCTAATTTCCTACATGTGAAGTATTGGTGATAATCCAGCATGTTTTTGTTTTTGAATAATTGTATTATTCTTTTTTGTAGGACAGAAACACAAAACATACAATTATAGCGTACTCAAATGTTTGCCTTTTAAAATCAGCATATACATATATAGCCATCTCCCAGCTGACAGAAAAAAGGCTTTAGAATAATATAAACATTTTTGCAGAAACATTTTTAAAAGCACATTTCCTTTTTTTCTCAGACTTAATAATATCTATTTAATAATTCTTACAGTACATTCTGAGTATTTCATAATTTCTAATTTAAAAGGCTTTGGGATAACTTATTTTATCCAGTTTACAATCTTTAATTTTTTGCTACAAGTTTATGGCCACAGCAAAGACACTAACCACACAGTTCATTGTTCTGTTTTCCCATCTGACTGTGCAAGTACCTGTAATGGATTTAAAGAAAAATAATGATTAGATATTTTATAGCCTATATTCACCCACAGGGAACAGCAGACATCTACTCATGGTCCATATTGGACTGTGCTGTTTTCTAGAAAGTATCTCTGAATTCTTTCAGCCTTACTTCGTATTTTTAAGATATCATGACCTTGGTTCCAATACAAAGTAAGTTGTGATGCACTTTATTTATTTGTTTGTTCGTTAGATTGAGATTCTACAGGTCTCTTACAGGTCAAAGTAATCTAATTAATGCCTTTCCCATTTTATCTCACAAAAACCTTGTTAGGGTAAGTTGGGATGAAAGGAAGAATGCATGCTTACAGTAACCCAGTGAACTTTAGGATAGGCTAAAAGAAAGCTGAGATTCAGAAAAACCAAAAGATGCTAAGGTTTACCACATTTTGTCAATCAAACTTTTGTTATATATAAACCATGCACTAAATCACAGTAAAGCTAATATACAATTTATTAGTTTGGGCTCAACAAATTGTGTAAAGTCAGCCAACTCTGATTCGTTCAATAAAACCTGGTAAAACTCTAATACAATTGTGAACCCAATCTTTGTAACAATGAAAATTGCATAAAACTGCAGATCACAGGTATCACTTCCAATTACACTGTTTCAGGTTTTAGCCAAACAACCCTAATTTCAATCACTAGCAATATCTGTACACTATGGGAGTTGTCAAATTGTATTTCAGCTGATACAGGATGCCTCTGGTCTGCAGTTTTGTGCACTTTTCATTATATACTTTCATTAAAAATTGAAGTGATGGGGCGTTGTCTTACCTGAACGCCTTTTCTCAGCACGGAGATGGAGGATCCACAGAATGGGTGGAGACTGTATTCCTGCCCAATCAGATCAAGTCAGCCAAAGTTGTCACGCCCCGTCCTGGTTCCATTTTCCAGTCTTGACGCGAGCGTAGCCATTGACTGACCAAGAACGTACTGGCTCACAAACTAATCCTAG